TCAACACTGCGGCGTGGAAGCAAGGTCCGGCAGGAGCTTATAAAGGGGAGGTCTCCTGATGAGTAGATGAACAGTGTTGGGCACGTTACTTTGAAAAAGTAATTAGTTATAGTTACTAGTTACTTCTCCCAAAAAGTAACTGAGTTACTAACTGAGTTACTCCACAATAAAAGTAACTAGTTACTAGTAAAAGTAACTATTGCGTTACTTTTGCGTTTCTCGCCCCCGTAAACATCACCACCCAGCCCCCACCTTCTCGCGGTGTGTTTCCAAAGCCAGCTGAATAGAGCGGACGACAAAGACAAGAACCTGCAGAGAGTTTTGCATTTCTTGTAACTCAATGTAAATTACATCAGGGGGGAACGCCATGTGAAGTTTTTTAACAGGGCATTCAGATCTGGTGAGTATATGAAATTAATAACTGGGGATGTCTAATTCTGAAATCCTGTGTGTTTGGGTTGTTATAGATACTGCAACATCTATCTATCATCTATCTATCTAGATGTATACTCTGTGTGTGACATAAAATATGGATCTCCATCCCTGCCACAAAGGCCATCAAATAATGTTTAAAATAAAAAATACAGTAGGTTGAAAAGGCAGAGTATCCATCCATCCATCCATCCATCCATCCATCCAGATTTCTCCCTTTCATTTGATCGTTCACGCTCTCCATAGTTTTCCTGTGGCGCGAGCACAGGGCGACTGTGGCGCGCCTTTAGCGAGCATGCGCGTTTCCTGTCGCTTGCGCGGTGATTCTTGCCGCCTGCGCTGTGCAGAGATGCAGGGGAAACCGTTATGTGATGGGGAAACGCAGCTCGACGTAACACCGGTATTTCCATGTAGAAAACGCTGTTTTGCTGCTGGATCCTCCTCACTCTCCATCTCTCTGTGTGTGCTGTATTCAACACCCGCCAGCAGAAACACCCAACTGACAGACGGAATCTCACTATTCATCAGCCATTCTCATCCTCCCCTCTCTCATGACAAGGCGCGCACCTCTGGATGACCTAAAAAATAATCTTTAATATCTCTTAAACAAAAGAAGCACAAACAATATTTTTTTCTGCACTAACGTTGCACTAACCAGCTGCGCACGAGTCCTATCATGAAAAAAGGTTCATTGTGCGACCTGAGTAACGCGCAGTAACGGGGTGTATGGAATGGTAACTGCGTTATAGTTACAGTCAAAGTAATTAGTTAGATTACTCGTTACTAAAACAAGGTAACGGCGTTAGTAACGCCGTTACTTTCAACGCCGTTAGTCCCATCACTGTAGATGAATAACAGGTGTGCTGGAAGATTCCAGCTCCAGAAGACCCACGGCGCACTCTGCTGGAGACAGAGGGTAATCTCCAGATCCCAACAGTAACTCCAGCCCTAAGAGAAAATAACAAGAGACAGAAGAGGCTTGCCCTCTGGTGGGCAAGCCTGAGGATCCCAACAGTCAGTGCATGTATCATCTCTGTGTTGAACATATTAACAACATCCAAGGAGATACAGATATTGCCTTTTATTGCAAATAGAAGTTAGCTGGTCCTGAGTATCAAAGTCCTGCTGTTTTTTAACGTTCAAAAAAAATATACTTTTCAGTTACTATCCACGTTTGAAGTTAATTGTGTAAAGTAACACAAGTCACTAATGGTTGTTTTACCTTCACGGTCATCTACCCTTTTATTTTGTTATTATTACCTCTAAGTACATACATGCAAATTTGCTCAAGGCAGCACAAGTCTCATCAATGGTGCTTTGGACCCAAGTATAATAAATATGCACCTAGAGATCCATAGTTAAACCAAAAAAAGCTTTTGCTGCAACCATGTTAGATGCTCTAAAACCTAGAAGAATTAATACTGTCATATTGGTGGAAGGTGGCTTTACAAAAAAGTATTAAATAAATTCAATTAATTTTCTATTAGCAATGATGACTGATTTGTTTTTAAAACAGAAATCTCAAACTAAAACTACCTTACCTTGATTTTGCTCTGTATTTATTGTACCATTGTCAAAAGCAGAAACTTTGGTGGGCCAATGTTATAATCCTGAAACCAATCTGTTTCAGCCTACACCTTAAAATTAGATCTTTATCTTCAGAAGATAACACAACCATTAGGCATTAGAAGGTAGGGGTCAAAGCACACCTGCAAAGCTGGCGCTGACATGAAACAAATAAGGCCTATCCAAGACAAAGAGCCTGAGCCAAAAGCCACTTCAGAAACATTTCCTTATAATCCAGGGATGTAAAGTAGATCTAAGAAACTGGAAGAAATCCCACGTGAAAGGAGCAGAGTGCATTAGCATTTACTTGTGTTTGAATATGAGCTAATCACGGCAGGTTGTAGAGATGTTAAGCGAGCGCAAATATTTGGTGGGGCTGGAGCAGGCCACCACAGAGATGAAAAACCACCTATTTCCATCCAAACACAATTAATCAGCATGTGAGTCTGCAAACAGATGCTGCAGCATGCTCCACTACCTCTGTTGTAAGCACTGGACTGACAGATTAAAGCACAGAAATGTGCACCCATTTAGAAAATTAAACAAAGTATTTCAGATCTGCTCTGACACAAACCACTGCTGTTGACACACAAGAAGAATTGGTCATATGGACTTATTTATGATAGGATAAATCATTAAAAGGAAAATTCCATCATCTTTTGTTACACGAAAGCTTATACATCTTGGCAGAAGATAAATATATCACACTCTAGACATCTTTTTTTTAAGTTGAAGTCATTTACAAATCAGGATCAAAATGCCTTTATTGTCATCGTACACATTACAAAACAATTGAAAGCCACCAATATTAATGTAGACAGAGTAGAAGAATATTACATATGTGAAATATATACAATTGAAAATGTAAACATCAGTGTACAATCATGATTTTTTTTTAAAGAGGAGTAAATATGCTATATATACATATATTGAAAGAATACAAACTTTATATGGAAGATCAGGACATTTATATCTTTTGGACAAAATCTTTTTTTTTTTTGAGTATGTCTGTTGTTGTCTTAATGTTCCTGTAACGCCTCCCAGAGGACAAAAGGTCAAATAGAACAGAGCCAGGGTGGGAGCAGTCTTTGGTCACTGCATTGGCTCTGTTGACCCAGTAGGAGGAGTAAATATCCATTAAGTAGTGGAAAGGGCGGCAATGGTCTTCTGTGCTGCCTTAAGCCGAGCGTACACTGTGTGAATTTTTTCAATCGTTGCACGCAGCTACTGTTCACACTGTACGACTAAACAGCAGGCTTTAGTCGTACAGTGTGAGTTCACAGCTCACGATTTATGTGCAGCAAGACGCTCTAATGCGATCTACCTGCTCACACTGTGCAACTAAAAACCACGTCGGACTCAGCTCCGCAGTGAGATGGAGCTGCCCTGACTTGCCTATCTGGAAGCCATAGACGAGTCACGTTTGATTTTCTCCCGATTCCTGATCGGGAGGTGGTCGTGAGAGGCTGATTGCTCATCGTTACCCCCTGTACACTACACGATTCATGAAGCACCATCAGGCTTAAAGTCGGCCCAATCGAAATATTCTCGGACGACTGGAAAATCACCCCGAAAATCGCACAGTGTATGCCGAGCTTAAGGGGAGGGCAGGAACAGATAGGTGCTGCTGGGATCAGTGAAACCGAGCAAAGAATCTGTTTAGCAACTCTACCAGTGGCGCACTCAGGTTCACTGTTGACACATCACAACCTCTAAAGTTAGAAATTTTGTGTTGTGCTCGCCACATCTCCTGTGCCCTGTTACTGGACAGTTGGGACTCAGTCTGCATCCTATGGTCCATCTTTGCGGTTTCCCCTCCTCTTTCAGGCCAGGTCTGGCAGCTCTGCATCAAGCTCTATCTCCTGTCCTAAAGGTAGGCCTGCAGGCCCAGAGAAGAGAGCGGACCTAGCTGGTCATCCAAGGTTTCTGATTAGGAAATCTTTGTTTACAGTGGCATTCCTAATGCATAAGAAATATAGTCCAGAACTGTTCCTGTGTGTGTGTCCAGCTCATGATGCTTGAATGTGTCAAAGTCTATCTATAGAAAGCAGTCCTGACGTTTTGGGAGTATATAGTCAGACCAGGTTGTAAAAGTCTTTATGGTGGGCCAGTCTTAAGCTTGGTTTATGTTGAACTTGTCCGCAAGGTCGGTGTGGCCAAATTACGTCATTTTGGGCTTTCACACCTCTCCAGAATTTTTGATGGGGCAACTACAAAAACTACACAGACCGATCTGCGCGGAAAAAATGGCAAGCGAGCAGGAACTCCTGTTGTCAAGCTCATAAATATCACGACTTTTAACAGATTTTGGAAAAACTCATGGAAAGAAACGAATTTTGCGGATTTTAGACAATGTAAGGTCGTGTTTTTTTAATGCGAGCGAGAGCGGGCAGGCAATAATTCGTGCATCATGGGCGGATAAGAACTACTTCGATTTTGCGGGAACAACAAGAGAGAGCGGCGTGAGGAGGAGGTTGCTGGTAAAACCTGTGCAGCGTGTCTGTCCAAAGCGATGCTCTGTTCAACCAGCGTTCCAGGCGACTGGTTGTCAGAGGGCTGATTGGATCAGTCCGATAAGTTTGTCTGGGTTACTCTCTGGCAGTCACCTAGTTACCACTCAAAGCTGTGCACCCTGTGAAACAGCAGAGGTTGAATCCTGGAGTAAAAAACGAAAATATAGGCTAATTTTACAGCAGAATATACTTAAGTATATCCAGGGGCGGATCTATAGGGGTGGCTACGGGAGCAATTGACTCCCCCGAAATCTGATTGGCTACCCCAACTGCCACCCCAGATGATTGACGGCACCGCTAAAACAGTTGCACGTCTGAAGTCTTTGACTGCGATGTTCTTCCTGTACAGTAGATGGCGCAATGCAGCATGCGCTATGCAGCCCCTTTCCAGTCGTGAATCTAGTGTGAAAGAAGAAGAACTAAAGCGCCTGTGGAGCCACCGAGTGCAACAAGCTGCAAAACATTATATACAACGTTCTTTGGGAAAAGGCTGCTCGCTCTCGAGATGGCTTTTATTCTCGTTTGGACCGACTGACGCATATCGGTGAGTAGGCTGCATGTCCACAGATTATATTCATAAAAGAAGCTCAATAACTAAGAGTTTGATGAGTTCAGTCAATGAGGATCATCCTCTGTTCAATTGATGTCCGTTTCATAAATCAGAATGATAAGGAGAAGCCCTTGCTTTTCACGAAGGGCGGCTAGAAGCTAGTCTGGCTGTAAACAGACAGGTGCAGGTGGGTGATATTGATGCGTTTCAGTGTCAATTTCTGTGATTTCATACCCATGTCTGCTGAAAATACTGCTGACGAGAACGGAAACTATTTCATTTTTTTTTAATGTCCGTGTCTAGAACCTTCTGAATTATGAAACCAGCAATATCTTTGATCAGAACCGTTTGCCCATGTCATGAAATGCATTACTAGTCGTAGATAATTCACGACCGATGTAGTTAGCTAGTCTCAGGGCAGCAGACAAATGTAATCCACAGTAAAGTTATGGCAGGCTGAAACCTTAATTGAATGGATAGATTCAGAGGCGTGCACAGACATTTTGGGGGGCAGGTGCTCAGGAGGGGGGGAGGGCACTTTTTAGCGCACGTGTAACACTTAATTATAAAAAAAAATACACACGCATGTTGAATGAATTTTGACTTTTATTTGTAACATTCTATAAACGTGAGTTTTCAATGAAAAAAAGTCACACCACCAACAGAACAGACTAAAGCGTACGCTTGCTCATCTTTCTTGTTCGTTCATCTGGCTCATCTCCCTGTTTTCCCTCATCTCCCCCTCATCTCCCTGTTTTCCCTCATCCTGCTGTTCTCCCTCACCCATCTGCTCTCACTCATCCTGGTCTTTTTCTGTCTCTGTGTCTTCCCTGAACTCTTCCTCATCTCCTGTCCTGGTAGATGTTGATAGTATAGAGCTTCCCTGCTGTGACTGGCTACAATATAATAATAATAATAACCATCATGACAATAATAATGATAATAATAATAATAATAATAATAGCTTTAACAAATATGCCACATTAGTTTAAATAATGGGCTAATAAGGCAACATGACTGGAAGTCTTGTCACGTGGATATGACTTATGGTAGCCTACAAAATAATAGCTATTTTAATACCTGCTGATTTTGTACAAACCACTTAAAAATAAAATGTGAACAGCTTTTAAGGTTTTTCAATACGATTAACCCTCCTTTCTTGGCATTGTGCTGCAATTACTAAATCAATATACAATTAAGACAATAAAGAGACCAAAATTTGTTAATTAATGTTTCCTAACAAAACCTATACAACAGAAAACGTTTGTCTTAACACATAGATTTGCAATTGCAAACTCTACCGAAATTATTTGTAGCCCATGTGGTCGTCCTCACGTTATCTGTCATTGACTTGTGCTACAGTGTAAAACTTTATCTAGTTTAACTAGTTTATCAGGTGACCAGTCTGCAAAATGCATGTTTGGTGCTGCTGAATGAGACATTTTAATGCACAACAAAATGATTTAGCTTGATCTGTATATTACCTGGCTAATGGGGCACGGGAGAAGCAGCCTGTCAGCGACCGTTCCTGCTATCTGAAGATGCTTACTGAACTGCTATGATGCTGCGCATCTGGCATGCCCTGCGGGCGACCGCGCAAGTTCACGTGACAAAGGAAGAGAGATAGGCTGGTCGGGTGTGTAAGGAGGTGGCTCATTTCGGGGCATTGTTTCAGTCGTTTTTAATGGCTCAGGTTTTCAAAAGATCATTTTAAAACCGACCTCAGTAAAATCTTAATAATAAAAATAAAAAACGAGTTTCAAAAGGGCATTTTCGTTGATAAAGGGCAAACTTCCTAGTGCTTTAGCACCACCTAGTGTCTATGTATGCACGCCCCTGGATAGATTGCAGTCACTAGACATGTCCTATTGTTGTGTTCTGATATTTCTAGGCTGTAATAATGTAGTCTGTATTCATTAATTTCCTTGTGTGTCATTTTGGACACGAAATGTTGCATTTTGCTTTGATAAGAGAAGTCATGCATGCTAGGAGTAACAAAACGTTTTTTTTCCAGTTGAGAATGAAAAGACAGGGAGGCACGATTTATAACTACTATAAGAGAAACAGATCAGGCTTAGAGCAGATCAGCAGCCCCGGCAGCCCTCATCCTGGGACTAGTCAGGAAAGTCCGGCAGAATCCAGCCTGTCATCATCGCCAGGTTTGAACATACAGAAGCAGTCACATGTTCAGTTATTTTAAATTATATTTAACATTATTTCAGATGTTCAGTTCAGTCATTTTAAGTTATGTTAAACATGATTTTGAATGTTGGTTATTGTTGTATGTTCAGTTTTAGACAATGGTTGTTTATTTTGATCATACTATTAAATAAATATTTTTCTACTATGTAGGTGTGAGAGTGGACCGAGATGATGACAGGTCCCAAGCTGGAACCATTACCGAGGAGTGTCAGGCACAACACAGCCCACCATCATCAGGTCAGAGCAAGTCAGGCATGCCAAGTTCAGTCAGTGTGAGATTGTTCTATAATATGTAATTTATAGTATGTGTTGCTTTTAACATTATTTATTTATATTATTTTTATTGTTATTATTGTTTCACAATATAGTTCCTTCTGAGGAAGGCTCTGAGGCTTCTGAACAGGACGACGACCCAGACCCAGAGCAACCTGAGCCTGAAGATGTGTCCAGCACTGCCTTTGCACCTTCAAAAGGGCCCAGTGGTAGGTCTATTTGAAACCTATACGTCTATGTGATACCTGCTAATTCGCTGTTTCTGATCACCTTGTGCATCTCTGATTCTCAACTATGATTCATTGTATCATGTTACAGATATTTCAACATCGAGAAAAGAGGTACCAGTTCAGCCACATTTGAGTAAATACCCCAAGACTCTCCATGGCACCAGCAAGAGGGCCTTCAATAGCAAGTGGTACACGAACAATTCATGGCTTGAGTATTCAGTGTCAAAAAACTCTTGCTACTGCTTTGCTTGCAGGCATTTTTCGTTGCCCAATGCGCCTGACTCTGCCTTCACATCTGATGTAGGCTTTTCAAATTGGAAAAAGGCACTGTCAAAAGAGGCAGGATTTAAACTCCATTCTAGATCTGAGCTTCATATTAACGCAATGTATGCATGGTCTGAGTTCAAAAAGAGGAAAGAAGTAGATCAGACTTTGTTAAATGCGCTAAATGAAAAGCACAAAAAAAGGTACAAGAAAACAGGCAGTACATCAAAACAATTGCAGAAGTACTCCTTTTGACTGCCACCCAAAACATACCCCAAAGGGGTCATGAAGAGTCTTAAGAATCAAAAAACAAGGGTAACTTCTTGACAATACTTGACACAATCGCGAAACATGACAGCTTCATACAGCAAAGGTTAGAGGCATCTGGTAATGCAAAGTACACCAGTCACAACATCCAAAATGAAATGCTTCAGATATTAGCTGATATGGTTCAAAAACAAATAATTGCAGAAGTGAAAGAAAGTGAAGTCTTTAGTGTTATGGCTGACGAAACAAAAGATTTGAAAAAAAAAGGAACAAATGTCGTTGGTAGTGCGCTACTACTACAATGGTGCCATACATGAAAGCTTCCTATGCTTCCAACCAGCTGAGACCCTTAATGCAGAAGGCCTCAGTCAAATGATTGTCCGTTGTTTAGAGAGACATGGTCTAGACTACAGAAACAACTTGGTGGGACAAGGTTATGACGGAGCCTCTGTCATGAGTGGCAAGCATTCTGGGGTTGCAGCAAAAATACAGAGCAATGCCAGATTTGCGTTTTACGTGCATTGCAATGCTCATTGCTTAAATTTAGTTCTTGTTGATGCTACAAAATCAGTGCCTGAGGTTGTGGACTTTTTTGCACTTCTGCAGCAGCTATATAACTTTATATCTGGCTCTTATGTGCACCTGAGGTGGCTTGATGTTCAACAGAAACTATATCCATCACAGCAGCCCAGGGAACTACAGTCACTTTCAGACACCAGGTGGGCCTGCAGATATGCAGCATGCCGTAATCTTAGGGACAGACTTCCTGCAGTGCTGAAACTATTGCAAGATCTCTCACTTGAAAAACATGGTGAAAGATCAGTGCTAGCAAGGGGGCTTCTTTCACAAATTGACTTGCAGTTCTTGGGGCTTTTGGTCACTTTCTGTGAAGTACTTGGGGATGCCAAGTGTCTGTCAGACATGCTCCAGTCCAGCACTCTCAACTTAGCAAGGGCTGTGGATTTAGTACAGTCCCTTAAAAGCACTTTCCACAATTACAGATCTGATGATTATTTTAGCAAACTGTGGAAAGAGGTTGAGGAGCTTGCACAACAGTGTGAAATTGGTGTACAAGCAGACAAGAAAAGGCAACGAAAAATAAGCTCAAAATTCCTGGACTCACTGATGATGAGCTCAGTAGGGCAGAGAAATTGGAATGAAGAGGATTTCCCCAGAGCATTATTTTACCAAGTCATTGATTGTCTAATTAATGAGCTGGATAGGCGTTTTTCTGGCAAAAATTGTGAGATCATGCATGGTGTCCAGTCTCTCAATCCAAATAGTGCAACCTTTCTAAATAATGAGCCTTTGTTTGCCTATGCCCAAACCTTTGAGTCTGATGTATGTGACCTTAGACATGAAGTTCACCAAACAAAGCGGCTACTGGAAAGGAGAATGAAAAGGGGTTTAGACAAACCAGCTTCTCTGCTTGAATTTCTTGTCTTTCTTGAGCCCTACAAAGAAGTTTTTCACGAGCTATTCAGGCTCTGCAAAATAGCCATTGTTATACCTGTTAGCACTGCTTCCTGTGAGAGAAGCTTCTCTGCCTTAAAGCTAATAAAAACACATCTCAGGACAACAATGATGGATGACCGGTTGAATCATCTAGCCATTCTAAGTGTTGAGTCCAGGAGGGCACGTGCCCTTGACATGGATGATTTTGTCAATAATTTTGCCACTTCTCATCAAAATAGAAGAATTATGCTTCTTTGAAGTTATCACCATGCTCTGCACTCAAATCAAGTCAAGTGAACGTAATTGTTAAAAATCTATGTCACACAGTCATCACAGAAGTTTGCACACACATACACATTAAACACTTGATAGCACACACACACCTTGTGCTGAAGAAGAAGACTAACACTTATGGACAATAGCAATGTGCAAAGAGTAAAGTGCAAGTGTCATGGTGAAAGAAATGTTCATGGAATGTTCTCCAATGTCATTTAAATGTTAAATGTAGTTTGCCTCAATGTGTTGATGAATCTGGCTTGTGGAAAGAAGCTGTTTCCCAGTCTGCTTGTGCTTCCCTGATTGTAGCAGGGAAAACAGTTTGTATGCTGGGTGACTGGGATCTTTGATCTGTGTTTCTGTTATCAGAGAGTTGAAGAATGCACCATATTCATTTTGTGCATAAATAAACTACAAATTGTACTCAAAATTGCACCTTTTGTCTGCTTAGTATGTGGCTACTTAAATATGATTGCAAATTACTGCTTACAAGGTTTATATAAGAAAGGTCAATAAGCCTTAATTAACTTGTAAATTATGCACCAAAGATAACCACAGACTAGTTGGCTTTCATCTGTAGCCCCTGGAAGTTTGATGTTGAAAGAAGTGTGTTTGTGTGTGTGTGTGTGTGTGTGTGTGTGTGTGTGTGTGTGTGTGTGTGTGTGTGTGTGTGTGTGTGTGTGTGTGTGTGTGTGTGTGTGTGTGTGTATAGAGTATAACAAGAATGATAAGTCATTACTCATGACATGTCAAAGAAGAACACAAGACAGGACCAACATCTGTAAGTCCATGTAGAAATAAATGATAGTGAATAATAATTTAAACGTGACATGAAAAGGTATACAGCACTCGATTGCTTACAGACGGTTGGTGTTTTCTGCTGCGACATTAACGCTAGTGCATAAACTTTGTTATTTTTAAGTATAAACCATTGCCCCCCTAAAATACACTTGGCCACCCCCTTGCTACCCCAAGGATAAAAGTCTAGATCCGCCCCTGAGTATATCCACGTCTAGTGAAGGTGAGGAACAATGGTGGATCTAGACCAAATGTACCAGGGGGGCCAGGAGGGGGGCAGCATGTATTCATGGGGGCACATGAAATAAAAAAACAGGGCAAGGGATTCAAATATATTAAGAGAGCTGCATGAAGTGAAATTTCTTTTCAATTAGGTTTAATAGAATTTCTATTTCTTATGAGGTCAATATACATTTTACTTAATTTAAGTTAAAACTACTGTTTTCTATTAATTTGAATTAGAACTCAAGAAAAACTGTTAAATTCATCTGTAAAAATTAGAGCATTTTTTTTTGTTGTGAAAAAAAAACATTTAACAGATGAAAACTGGGATCCTATCTCATTACCACTGAAGCTATAACCTTATTGTTTTTGAATAAGAATAATTAGTAAAATAGAATTTGTAAAGAAAAGGAATGGAATAGATCCAAAGGATCAAGGCTACAAAATTGAATGTAATGAAAATAAAAGACCAATACTGTTCTGTTTTGTTTATCTAACTTTAATATACTATCTGTTAATCATTGATAAATGGTCTCTTTTGTCAGGACTCCTGTCTGTGTGTTTGTGTTCTGTGTTTGTCTCCCTTCCTCCACCAGGAGGCGCCTGGTTCTGGTCCGCCTCCTCACACACCTGCTGATGGTTTCCTCGTTAACGGAGCTGCTGTCTGCCACTACCTCGACGCCAGAGTGTTTGCCAGTTTTGGGTACTCTAGCCAAGTTGAGTTTTTGCTGAGTCAAACTGAGTTCTCGTCAACCTGAGTTTTAACATTGTTTTTTGTCTTTGCCTCTCGGCGGGAAGTCATCCTGCATACTGGATTTTTCTGATCTTCTCTCCCTGGAAGGATCAACAGAGCTTCAAGCTGAGATGGTATAACAAACAGGAGGTTTGGACCCACTTTCCCCAAGAGATCGTTTGAGCTTCACACTGAGAAGGGGATTCATCTCCACTATGAGCCGTTCAAGTACCGCAGGAAATCTGAGTGGCAGTCAGCTTCTCTGTTCACCTACAAACAACAACATTCTGGGTAAACCCTGTTCCGCCCTCCACCGAATCAGACAAACACTGGAACAACAGCATACAGACTGGAGTCAAAGATTCAACAACTTCTCTGGAAATGTGAGTCAGATTCTCTTCTCCAAGTTCACAAATCAAATTTCCCACTGAGCCTGAACTAATCGCTGTGTGTTCCCCTCACTTTTCAGTGCAGTGTTCAGAGCAACACTTCTCTCAGCATTATCTCTTCAATAAAACCTGTAAAACCTTCTCCCTGGTCTCCCTGTTTTGTCTTCTGCATTTGGGTCTGAACTTTAGTAAAATCATGACATCTTTAAGATTTATAGGTAATGGTTATGTTAAAGTGTAACCAAAAAATATTCATTTTTTACAACTTGTCCCACCATGTTTTATCAATAACTAATGGGCAGTTTTACAACAAGATGTTATAGGTGTGGATGGCTGGTGGCAGGAAGGGTCTTCGATATTGGACTGCCTTGAACCGGATCTGGAGAAGACTCTTATGGTGCGTCGTGGCTGTGGCAAACTTTTTTATAAAATCGCGACACAGCAGCCAATCAGGGAATGGTTGTAGGTGAAGCGTTTTCCCTTAAAATGGAATTCAGAGATAAACAATATTAACAAAGGTAGGAATAAGGGATGCTCTTAAGATGTATTTAGGTATCTTTTAAAAACGCTGTTTTAATTTAGTTCTAATATGAGTGTTAATTACCTGCAGCACAAAGCCAGGTCTGTCACTGCCTTACTCCCCAGCATCAATGCTTTGTGGATGCTCAGATTTACAAGGTTTTGCCAAATCTGACAGAATCAGAGCTGCATCTGGATGAACCAAAGTGGACTCTTTTTTTCAGAGCTTTTTCAGGGCTTTTTCAGAACAATTTAACAGCAGTTTGTGATGTTATCAATTAATCCAATCAATCAATCAATCAATCAATCAATCTTTATTGTCAACTACAATTTGCATTGTAACCAAGATTAAAGTTCCTATACAAACTTTTCATCACATACATTTCATAAGCTACATGTTTATGTTGTTTATGTTTATGCATTTAGCAGACGCTTTATCAAAAGCAACTTACTAAGTAGGCATTAGCGTAAAGGGTCTTGCCTAAGGGCCCCACACTGGCAGCTTATAGGGCTTGGGATCTGCGTTGCATTGTGGGATGTGGCGGCCATGTTGATGGCTACGCAAACGTTAACATAGCTCTGATACAACGTTGTTGAACGAAGAGATGTAGAAGTAGAGACAAAAAAGATCTTAAA